GTATCATTATTCCTCATCCTGCAGGCAGCGGGTTAAACACTGAAAAAGACACCTAAGGGTTGAAGGTGTTGTTACTCAGACTTCTTGGCTTTGGTGTTTTGCGCTGGTCTCATGCAAAACAAAAATGTTTCAGCATCACAAGTCGATCCGAAAAACAACTTTATGTATCACAACGAAAATGATCAGTGGTACTATAACGTTAAAAAAAAATCATCTGAGAAATATTGGGGGTAAATATTGTCACAAAGGCAGCAAGCTGAATAATGAAGCATTAAGCCAGAGCTCATCTTTTGAGTGCCTTTAGCTTTTGGGCAATCACGGTTGAGACCCTCTCTTTGTTTCCAGTGGAGGAAAGGATGGGGTCATAGAGCAGGGCCGTTTCCCTGTATGTGACCAGACCCCAGTTCTCCATTGCTCCAGCGTTGAAGTCGGGCAAAGCGATCTGATCTGTGGAGACGAAGGGTTAAAAAAACATGCTGTGCTCAGCGAGATCATTGAAATGAAGTGATTTAGCAAAATGGTCTACCTGACTTGGAGAGAGGATATGATGTGTTGTAATAATGCTCATAAAACCTCAGGATGGGTCCCGTAACATTGAGAGCATAGCTCCCCTGCCCATCATCTATTGCTTTTCTCCGAGCCCAGATTCGAATCTGCAAAAAGTAATTTAAATCTTTGAGTCCAAAAAAAGCCGTGCTCCTTACCATTTCATGCTCGTTTTAATTTTCCAAGATCATGTTTGGGAACATATAAGCTGGGAAATGCTTTTTGGATCCTGGCCTCACTGGGGATTTAAGTGAATATGTAATCCAGGTTTCTTACCAACAAATCATTTTGGTTTGACTCAATGGGAACAAAGTCGCTGACGATGAATGCCAGTAGATATGTTGACATTTTCCGCGTGGGCTCAAATGTTGTAATTTTGACAGCCACACCGTCAATGACAGCCTCTGAAGCTTCTGTGCAGGCAGAGAAAAATATTACACGCTCTGTTAGCATGAACAGTGTTTAGTTACTTATTTACTTTAATAACTTGGACAAGGTGTTTTTTATTAGTTACAACCAATGACTGAATAAAACAGTCATTGGCTTTTCCACATTCACTGGTTTATGAACCAATCACATTACCTACTACTTACAACATGATATCTATTCTCATTTTGAGCTTGTTTTTCCATTTTACACTTTCCATTTGCACTGAAAAAAAAAAC